CATCATACAATAGACATCCACCACTTTCCCCTCTGATATGCTTGTAAATTATACGAAACATGCACTCAAATATGCAAGGGAAACTGAACTCAGTAACACTGTAAGCTAGTGTGAAGTGTCTGGAATACTGCAGTGAAAGAATCAAGAGAATACCTTGTTGGGTACACGAGAAACTGCAAGTTAAAACACTAGTGACAGTAGCTGGAAACTGCAGAGCTCAGGGAATGTTATGCCTGCATTTGATGACGTCATGACGTAAGTGAGGAGGCTTTCTCTTCAGAGGGTGGTGGGAGGGCTTCCGATGCTACAGCGGGATAAACCCCTATTGCAGCCGAAGCCAGGGAAGGTTTACTTACGAGTAAGTCAGGAGGGGGAAAATAAGGTTTTAAAGACTGGAAGAGAGGAATGTTGGCTGTCCTGTGTGCTTTTGATGGGGGCGGGGGGGGGGGTTAAATACTCTCAGCGTGTGATTTTCTTAGGTATGTTTTAATTCGTTAGTTGCCTCGGCAGCCCTTATGGAGGAAGAAAGGCAGGATCTGATTCTTGTAAGTGAGAATAAATTCTCAGCCGCGGTGCTGGTTGGGAGCCCCATGAGTGATCAGGATGGAAGGAAGCATTCACGGCCATCGGCTCCTTCACATGCCATACATTTTGGCCAGTGCTCACCACCGCCACCTGCCGTTTCCCTGGGGGTTCACTGCCTCCCTCTCTTCCCATTCATCCAGGCAGCCCCTCTGCCCCTTCCACTCTGCTGGCTGCTTGGTTGCTAAATGCAGGGCTTTTTTTGTAGAAAAAGCCCAGCAGGAACTCATTAGCATAATAGGCCACACCCCTGACAGCACAGCTCATTTGCACATTAGGCCGCACCCCCATGTTACCAGAAGTGTGCTCATTCAGCCACACCCACCTTTCCCTTCTTATTCTGTTTACCTTGTTTGTTGTCAAAAGCCAGGGCTTTTTTGTAGCAGGAACTCCTTTGCATGTTAGGCCACACACCCCTAATGTAGCCAATCCTAATGAGCTTCTGCTGTTGGGTGTGGCCTATTATGCTAATAAGTTCCTGCCGGGTGTGGCCAACTTGGGAGCCAGCCGAAACTCGTTCCTCTGCTTTCCTGCCCAAAAATAGCCCTGGCCTAAATGCTTCTGGATGACTGAGGAAATATCTCCACTGGTAAAGGTGTTAGGAGTCATTTTTGCCTGGGCTGTAGTTTGCTTCAGATGCAACCCCTAGGATAGACTGGTCACCAGTCATCGGAGGCCAAGATAAAGGTAATCCCTATTATTTTATATGGGGTGACAAAAAGAATCAAGGCAGTCACAGAATCTCTCGACTTTCCACTTCTTTACTTCCTTAGAAAGCTGCTAAATATAGCACGCTGTGTTGCTGGTGTGGCTTCGTGCACTGAATTTGGTCAGCCATCATCGGAGGAGAGGGCATGGATACCTGCATTTAATTTGAGAGTCTGGTGTAGTGGTTAAGAGCGGGGACTCTAATCTGGAAGAGGTGGGTTTGATTCCCTGCTCCTCCACATGCAGCTGGTGGTGTGACCTTGGGTCAGTCACAAGTTCTTTCAGAGCTGTTCTCTCAAGAGCAGTTCTCGAAAGAGCTCTCTCAGCCCCACCTACCTCACAGGGTGTCTATTGTGGGGAGGGGAAGGGAAAGGAGATTGTAAGCCACTCTGAGACTCCGAATGAAGGGCGGGGTATAAATCCAATCTTCTTTTCTTCTAATTTACAGTTTAATGTTACTGTTCTGCGTCAATGGCTATCTGGCGTATTGAAGGAGGATTCTTATAAATTATCATGGCTTAGGATCATGGACAAGAAATTGTCTGCTATTGGTTTTGCCACTGAATCTACCAAGGCACTGGGGCTCAGGCTGGTGAATTTCATTGATTTTACTCCAGGCAGGGTCGTCCCCTTCCTACTCTCAGATCAAAATCCTAGCCTTTGTGTCTTTTGGGAAATAAACAGAGATTATAAATGGAATTTCAGATTGTTATACTGCTTAGGGCATTGAGTTACAGAGCTTTTATTTGACACAGGAAAGGAAAGGGTAAAAGCTTGTTATTTATTTTAATTTATTTTATTTATTTTTGGGATTTATATCCCGCCCCATCCAATATACAGCTCGGGGCGGCTAACAAACGGCCATGCCGAAGTTAAAATATGCATGCAACCAACAGCATAATAAAAACACTATATCTTGACATAAAATTTGGTGCTTTGATAATTTGCATAAAATCCAAGATGGGCGACGTCCCACACTGGCGGGCAAGTTCTTCACAGCAGGAGCGCCAGGAAGAATGTTTCCCCAGCTCTATTGGGCGACATCTATCCCCACTATGTGGGGTAGATGGTTGGAATATCATTGGTGGAATAGTGGCGGTGGCGGCTCCCCCTCAAAGGCCTGGCGGAAGAGCTCCGTCTTGCAGGCCCTGTGGAACTGCACTAGGTCCCGCAGGGCCCGGATCTCCTCCGGGAGCTCATTCCACCAGGTGGGAGCCGCCACCGAGAACACCCTAGCCCTGGTTTGGGTCAACTTCACTTCCCGGGGGCCTGGAGATACAATATTGAACAATGACATTAATCCTGATCTGCAAACTACAAGGGCAGTCCTTAGGCTTTCTTGAGTCGTGTTGGTGATGCACCTCCATTCTCTTGGTTTCTGCCCTTTTGATATCTTCTGCTCTCCCTCTTCATAGCCACGCGAGTAAGGATATCTTTCCGCAGTCAAAGGCGACCCAAGAGAAAGGGAAGCAGATGGAAGAGCGACCCAGAAGGACCTGGAATTGGCAAGACAGCAAGGAGAGGCCCCCTTCTCCTCCAAGCTGGGAGTGGCGTTGAATTCTGGGAAAGACCTGTGCCAGAGATCTCCAGTGAACATCACCGAAGCTTCCGCCAGTTCTGCTACCACGAGGCCGATGGGCCCAGAAAGGTTTGCAGCCAGCTCCATGGACTTTGCAACCACTGGCTGAAGCCAGAGAGGCATTCCAAGAAGCAGATCCTGGACCTGGTGATCCTGGAGCAGTTCCTGGCCATCCTGCCCCAGGAAATGCAGTGCTGGGTCAGAGGATGTGGGCCAGAGACCAGTTCCCAGGCCGTGGCCCTGGCCGAAGGTTTTCTCCTGAGCCAGGCAGAGGAGAAGAGGCAGGCAGAGCAGGTGAGGGGGTTTCATTCACTTAGTTCAAGCAATGACCTTATTTTAAGGCTTCCCTGCCAAATATTTATAGCTCTAGATAATTCACTAGGCTGGGAAGAAAACCCAACCCTGATTCTTGTAATTGAAGCAGCTCTGCTGGCCAATGCAGGGCTGAGGAATCTGGGAGTGGGACAGGATCCATCTCCTCAACCTGTTCCGTTTTTCTCTTATCTGCCTCTCTTGATGTTGTTTCAGATGTGGGGATCATCCGTGAAGATGGAAGCTAAGTTCTCTGAGGCTGAAGGAGCTCCGTTGGAGGAAGCGCAGAGGGAGGAGGCTCAAGATGCCCTCTCCTGTGGTAAGGGTGCTTCCTGTCCAGGCGGGATCAGGGCACCTAGTCCATTTGTTGGTTAGAAGGTTTGGGATGGGAGAAAAAGGAAAGATTTCTGCGCACAACACAGAGTTCACTTCTGGGACTCAGGGCCAGAGGATGTAGTGATGGCCACTCCCTTGGAGGGGGATTAGACAGATTCCTGGAGGGTAACTCCATTCTCGTTCACATGAATTAAAATATTTCTGTCTCATCCTCCTTCCATCCGAGGGAATCAAGGCAGCTCAAAAAAGGAAAGGTAGACAAATCCAGTTGCCGCTATTAGTCCTGGTGAGTAAATGGAACCTCCATGTTCCGGGGCATCATACCTTTGAAGACCCGTTGCTAGAGGCCAATAGTTAGGCTTCTATGCCCCTATGTAAATGCTCTCTAGGGGCAGCTGGAGGGCCACAGTGACAAACAGGATACTGGACTAGGGAAGCCAGGCTATGTCTTTCCAGTGTCTTCCCACCCATAATTTAAACCCATTATTATGAGTGCTGCCCTCTGCTGCTAGCAGGAACAGCTTCCTTCCTGCCTCTGAGTGACAGCCCTTCAAATACTTCAAGAGAGCAATCATGTCCCCTGTCAACCCCACAAGCTTTGGGAATTGGGCATGAGGTGGGCATGAGGTCAGCTGATGCCTCATCTGACTGAAAATCTAGATGTGACGTCAGGACATCAGCAGACACCCTGGAAGCACACTGATGTTACCATAGAGTTTTCAGATGTGCCAAAGTCACGTCTGGGTTTTTGGACAGATGCGACGGCAACGTGTCCTGCAACGTCATTTCTGGCCCCCTCTTTTTCTCCCACCATTCCAGTCACGAAGGCCTGTGAGGGGGCTCAGCCCAATGGGAGAATGGCATGCCTGCTGAGCCTTTGGTCTGATCTGGCAGGGACTCTCCCATGGATTTACACTCCAGAGTTCACAGGACACATTTCAGTTCTCACAGAAATCTGAAACGTGTCAGCAGCATTTAAGGGCCCCTGAGGCCCATAGGTACCTGGTACTTCTCTTGTGCCTTCTCCACTGTTTAGAAAACTGGTTACAAAATAAGAGAGCCAGTTTGGTGTAGTGGTTAGGAGCGCAGACTCTAATCTGGGAGAACTAGGTTTGAGTCCCCACTCCTCCACATGCAGCCAGCTGGATGACCTTGGGTCAGTCACAAGTTCTTTCAGAGCTGTTCTCTCATGAGCAGTTTTCAAAAGAGCTCTCTCAGCCCCACCTACCTCACAGGGTGTCTGTTGTGGGGAAGGGAAAGGAGATTGTAAGCCACTCTGAGACTCCTTCGGGTAGTGAAGGGTGGGGTATAAATCCAATCTCTTCTTTGTGAGTGTACATATGGCAAGATTTCAGAGCTGCAGGAACATGGGTACGTGAAGCAGCCATCACACAAGCAAATGAAAAAGAAGTCTAGGCTAACACCTTTCCTTCTTCCTTTGTCTCCCTTGCAGGGAGAGCTTCTCTTTTTCCTCTCCCACAGGTTATTAAAAAGTGGTTTAAAATGTGATGATTATATGCAGGGCAAGGTTTCACAACCCTGAGAAGAGGATACACGAAGCTGGATTCAAACAAGGAAACAAACCAGAAAGTTGAGACTAATACCCTCTCTTGCAATTTTCTCTCCCTCACAGACAGTGGAGAGATACTGTCGAGACGTCATCTTTGCAGAGGTGTGGAAACGAATGCTCCAACTCCACTCCAGGTAGAGGAGATGTGTAGAGGAAAGCCTGTCCCCTCCCCCCTTTCTCAGGGGGGCTTTTGCTCCTGCAATCACTGCTAAGGTGTATGAGCAAGAGATGCTCTGAAGGCCACTCCTTTTACCCCTGCCAAGCTCTACAACCCACGGCCTCCCAGAATGCCCCATCTAGTTTACATTCTCTGCCTGGCATGATCTCTGACAAAGGCAGGGGTTATTTCCTGCACGAGCACACAGGAGCGGAGCTCCGGCAGTAAAGAGCCCAGGGGGTGGGCACATGCAACAAGCCCCGCCCCCTGCTCCCAGCAGCCCTCAGTCAGAGCAAGAAGCAGCCAGGTAAGCTGCAGAGCTTCCCCCGGCCCCCCGGTCCAAAGCAATCCAATGGCACCTATAAGACCAAGTTTTATTCAGGTACAAGCTCTCCCTCCTCTGCGAGGACAGATCTGCACATTCCCCCCCCCCCATAGCTAGCAATCCAAAACAGTCCAGTAGAGCCTGAGTGGTGGGTGTTGCCTTCTGACACACTTCCAGTGATGTCAGGGGGTGTGGCATATGCAAATAAATTGTGCTAATGAGTTATGCTAATGAGCTTCTGCACCTCTTTTTCTACGAAATGACCCCTGGACAAAGGAATGTGCTTTTTCTTACAGTGTCCATTTTCCTTTGAAGAGGTGGCCGTGTATTTCACCAAGTCCGAGTGGGCCCTGCTGGATCCGGGCCGAAGAGCTCTCTACAAGGAAGTCATGCTGGAGAACTATGGGAGTGTGGCCTTTCTGGGTAAGGATCTTTCGCATGTTCCGGAGGTGCAAATTGCTGCCATTGGTATGATGCATGAAGCAGAATACTGAGCAGTAATATGTCATTTTGAGGCCTTTAACTATGTTGTCGCCATCTTGTGACTTTGTATAGAACTGAATTTTAATTTTATAGAATGTTTTAATCTTTTAAACTGAGTATTATATGTTGTGAGCCACCCTGAGCCTGTTTGTGGGGTAGGGTGGGATAGAAATAAAATAAATAAAAATAAATACTTCCCCACCACCACCACTGGGGGCCTCCAGGACTTGGGATGGCAGTGAGAGTGGTGTTCATTGTGGCCTAGGAAGAGCAACCCAAGCAGTCTGGCTGGCCCAGGGGCCACTGAAACCGGTGTTGTGGCTATCACCCAAGCCACCTGAGATTTACTGTCATTGGGATGAAGCATGAATCAAAATATTGAATAGCGATACATTGTTTTGACGCCTGTCCCACTACTTGCCCATGGGGTAACTGAGGCCAGTGTTGTCGCCATCACCCTAGCCAGAGAGGGTGTCCTCACCTCTGGTGGGGCTGAGAGGCCCTCAGAAAGACTCTGGAAGGGGCCAGATCATAATTTCTCAGTTGCCAACCTCTACAATGCACCCTTCCCCCTGGATCAGATTATGGCCGTCTGCTCTGTGATCTGGAAGGGATCAATTCCCTTATACTGGTTGGGATTGTGGGCTCTGATCTTCTTGACCATGTTTCCCGCCTTCCAGAAGGATTTTTCTTCTTCCTTGGATTTCTTTCCTTCCCCATACGAGAATGATCTTTTTTTCTCTCTCTGCCAAAGAAGCCAGGAATGTAAGAGAGACTACGGTGGAGATAGACAAAGGCTTTGTATCCAATGAAAGGATGGAGAGTTTCTCAAGAGGATCTCAAGAGAGTATTTCCTTCGCAGATGAGCTGGCTCAGAGTGAGTATCTTCAGGGTTGTATCAAGGGAAGGAGAAAGGAATAGGCATGGAGGGTTTCTGCTTCACTTCTTAGCAACTCTTAGTTTGGTAGTAGAATTATAAAGCCTGCTGGGTAAGGAGGGAGGGAGGGGAGGTGGGCTTTCTGGGGCCTGAAATCTGGGAGACTTGTAAGCTCCTTCTGTAGTGAGAGATCCCCCTCCGGTGTCCAGTCAGAGAATGAGAACGCTTTTAATGGCTCTGTCTTTACAAAATGTTTAGCAACAGAGTTCTCCTGGATTTATTGTATTAAAGGGTAATTTACAACCTTTAATTCTGATACTACAAAAGAATAAAGTGTTGAGTACAGTCCTTTGAGTGTAACTAGAAAATCAGACAGAACACTTGTGGAAACTTTTATTGAGATAAAAAGTTATTTTCTTTAATGAGCTTGACAAAATGATATACAAGCACAAAAAAGTTAACCCTGCAATTACTATGAAAATAAATGCAAATATTATCAAAGTTCCTAGCATCGCTTTTTAGCAAGTAATAGTTTTAAAAGCAAATCAGTTTTCAGCTGTTTGTCTCACTGCTTTTTTTTTTTAGCCTAAGTTAACCACCAAGGAATTTTATATTCGAAAAGGAAAGTCAGCCAGATCTTTGAACACTTACATCCAGTGACCAGAGCGGTAAAGGGGCAAGACACATCTTCCTACAAACCTGAAAAGGGCCCCAGTTTTCCAGAAACACCTGAAATCTAAAAGAAATACATTGAGAAGTTTTTTTAAAAGCCAAAAATGGTTAAAAAAAGAGTGCCTGTAGCTTTAAACGGTGGATCCCCTCAGTGTCTATTGTTAGGCAACCACAGTATTCCAGACTGGGTAATGTGAGTAAAAGGCAGGGGGAGGGCCCTTTCTAGGCCTGTTTTGGGCTTTTGAAGGAGGATTCCTTGGGGCCAGGCCTGGCTAGGATTGCCATCTCCAGTTTGGGAAATTCCTGGAGATTTTGTTGTGGAGTCTGAGGAGGGCAGAGTTTGAGGACCGGAGAGGCCTCAGTCAGATATAATGCCATAGAGTCCACCCTCCAGAGCAGCCATTTTCTTCAGGGGGGACCGATCTTGGTCTTCTGGAATTCAGTTGCAATTCTGGGTTACCTCCAGGTCCCACCTGGAGGCTGGCAATCCCTAGGCCTGGCAGCAACCTCTGTGTGACTTGATACCACCTGATACGCATGACTCAACTAGGCCTGACTTCCTGCTACTGTACAACAGCAGCCACCCTAAGAAAGCCAGCGTGGTACAGCAATTAGAGCTTCAGAGTAGGGTCTAGGACCAGTCACATACTTTTAGTCTAACCTACCTCACAGGGTTATTGTGTGGATAGAAAGGAGGAGAGGAGAATAATGTGAGCTGCTTCGGTCTCCACTGTCGAGAAAGGCGGGATATCAATGAAATACATAAGTAAAAGAGCTGAAAATGGGAGGAAGATAAAAGGTAGGTTGGTGAATGGCTGAGGAGAGAATGAGACAGGGAAAGAACACATATTTCTCTATAGATATGCACTCCTGTGACAAGCAACTCTGATTTCTCTGGATGAAAGTCTCAGAAGAATAAGTGTGACAAGTGGGGACCTGCAAGGATTTGTGGGAGACATTTCCTTTCCCCCTCCCCCACAATTTCCTCTTTCCTTTTCCTGAAAGCCCCCATAGCCTCTCTTTTCCTACTTCCTCCTCTCCTTTCTGGGTTGCCAACCACCTGGTGGGGCCTGGAGATCTCCTGGAATCACAGTAGATACCCCAGCGACAGAGATCAGCTCCCCTTTGGGGTTGCCAGCTTCAGGTTGTGAAATTCCTGGAGATTTAGGGGTGGAGCCTTGGGAAGGTGAGGTTTGGGGAGCAAAGTGACCTCAGCAGGGTATAATACTATAGAATCCATCCTCCAAAACATCCCTTTTCTCCAGGGAAACTTCTCTGTCATCTGGACCTCTTTTTTTTTTATTCCGACAGGTGATGTGGAGGAGACAGTTGGGGAATTCCAGGGGTTTTCTCTCAAAGCAGCCAAGAATGAAGGTGCTGAAGGAAACCTCAGTGATGGAGATGGACCACAAAGAGGGGAAGGAAGCTATGCAGAGAAGAGAAGGGATAAGGCCATTACTTGCCAAAAAGGGGATGTATGTGAAATCTCAGTCCAAGACAAAAAAGCAACAAAGAAAAGAAGGAACGCAGGCCTCCATCCTCACCAGAGAATCCACTCCAGGAAAAATGAAAATGAAAGCGTGGCCTTTGGAAAGAGCTTCAGTGAGAGCATGAACGTTATTTCCCAGACACAAATTCCCTCAGGAAAGAAACTCTATAATTGCTTGGAGTGCGGAATGAACTTCTCAGTTCAAACCCAGTACATTATCCATTTGCAAATGCACAGTGAAAAGAAGACTCATCAATGCTTGGAGTGTGGACAGAGCTTTTTTCGTACAGCAGAGCTCCTTAGACATCAAAGAACACATACACGAGAGAAACCTTATAGCCACTTAGATTGTGGCAAGAGTTTCACACAGAAATCACACCTTGTTCAACACAAAAGGATTAATGCAGGGGAGAAGCCATTTATCTGCTCAGAAACTGGAAAGGCATCGTCTGAGAGAAGAAGGGGTAATGCATATTTTCCAAAGCACAGTACAGTGAAGGCAAGTAAATGCTTTCGGTGTGAAAAGAACTTCAAATACAGATCACAGCTCCTTGTGCACCAAAGAATACACACAGGGGAAAAACCTTTTGAATGCTCAGAGTGTGGAAAGAGATTCAGTCGGAGTGGCACTCTTGAACAGCACCAAAGAATACACACAGGGGAAAAACCTTTTGAATGTTCAGAGTGTGGAAAGAGATTCAATCGGAGTGACACTCTTCAACAGCATCAAAGAATTCACAGAGGGGAGAAACCTTTTGAATGCTTACAGTGTGGAAAGAGATTCAGTCAACTTGGCACTCTTCAACAGCATCAAATAATCCACACAGGAGAAAAACCTTTTGAGTGCTCAGAGTGTGGAAAGAAGTTCAGTTGGAGTGGCAATCTTCAACAGCATCTAAGAACTCACAAAGGTGAGAAGCCTTTTGAATGCTCAGAGTGCGGAAGGAAATTCAGTCAGATGGGACATCTTCAACAGCATCAAAGAATCCACACAGGAGAGAAACCTTTTGAGTGCTCAGTGTGTGGAAAGAAATTCAATCGGAGTGGCAATCTTCAACAGCATCAAGGAACACACATAAGGGAGAAACCTTTTGAATGCTCAGAGTGTGGAAATAAATTCAATTCAAGTGGCAATCTTCAGTGGCATCAAAGAAGCCACACAGGGAAGAAACCTTTGGAATGCTCAGAGTGTGGAATCAAATTCAGTCAGAGTGGCCATCTTCTTGAACATCTTAGAACTCACTCAGGGGAGAAACCGTTTGAATGCTCAGACTGTGGAAAGAGATTCAGTCAGAGTGGCAATCTTCAACAGCATAAAAGGACTCACACAGGGGAGAAACCTTTTGAATGCTCAGAGTGTGGAAAGAGATTCCGTGAGAGTTCTACTCTTCAGCGGCATCTAAGAACTCACACAAAAGAAAAGCCTTTTGAATGCTTAGAGTGTGGAAAGAAATTCAGTCGTAGTTGCACTCTTCAGCAGCATCAAAGAACCCACACAGGGGAGAAACCTTTTGAATGCTCAGAGTGTGGAAAGAAATTCAGTTTGAGTGGCCGTAGTTGCACTCTTCAGCAGCATCAAAGAACCCACACAGGGGAGAAACCTTTTGAATGCTCAGAGTGTGGAAAGAGATTCAGTCAGAGAGGCACTCTTCAACAACATCAACGAAACCACACAAGGGAGAAACCTTTTGAATGCTCAGAATGCGGGAAAAGATTTAGTCGGAGTTACACTCTTCAGCAGCATCAAAGAACCCACACAGGGGAGAAACCTTATGAATGCTCAGAGTGTGGAAAGAGATTCAGTCAGCATTGCAATCTTCAAAAACATCTAAGAACCCACAGAAGGAGAAATCATCATGTAACTGCTTAGCCTGTGAAAAGAGCTTTTCTCTTATTATATACTTTAAAAAAAAACTGCTGACCATAGAAATGACTCTTGTAAAGAATTTGCATCAGCACAGAAACTTTACCCTAACTAGGAAGACATGGTATGGATCCTCAGCTTGTGGAAAGAGATTTAGGTATGACTGAAGACTCAAACAGATCTCTCAGGGAAGAAATGAAGGATATGTTCTGAGGATGGAAGTAGACAGAAGACTCATATCTCGTTAATCATCAAGGAGTCCACACAGGGGAGGAACCTCATCAGTGCATGTCAAGAACTTGAGGTAGAGATCCAACCTTCTTGTTCCTCAGAGAATCCATACATGTGTGAAACTTATGCTATTGTTGGTTCTGATGAGACTCTCGTTTGAACACTGAGGTGTTGGAGGCTCAGAATGTAGTTACACAATGAAGGGCCTTTTTGGTGTTTACCCTCTATCAGGTCCAACTGACATATATCAAACTGGCCGAAATGTATCTCTTCCATATCCTGTAACGAAATAGACAAGTTGGGGGCAGGAGGTATCTACAGTCTCTTTGCAGCTGGCATAATAGTAGTGTGAACAGCTGGCATCCTTAGTTTACAAAAAAGAAAATCTGACAAGGAGTTCTAGGGAGGCATCCCCCAACTATAATCCCTCACCAATCCAACCTGCTGTGAGCTTTTGGAAGGTCTCACCCCTTTAAAACCCAAAGAGTTCTGGCAGTAGGATTAATTTGGATTGAAAGGAAATGGTTGTCTCCCCCAATCCAACAACTCAGTTCAAAGGGTCAGACCCCCCCCAAAAAAATACAGTATTGTGGAAATTAGCCGGTAACCTTGGTGTTGACGGGTGAACACTGTGGGACACGAGTTCCCCAATTCCAGTTGTCCTCCCCACCCACCGCAGATTCACCCAGAGAGAATCAGAAAGGAAAAGTTTTGGGCTCCAAGAGCTGGAAATGACCTGGAGTTAGCCCTGGTCCAGGGCTTACTGCCTACTGCCCACCACTGACTGTTCACGGGGCCCCCTTGAATTCCTTCATTGAGATTGTACCTTTATTGAGCATTTTGAGAAAATTCTTTTTTTATCTAACTACTTTAGTTTGGAAAAGTGTCTGCATCAGGGTTGCTAACAGGCCTAAAGGGAGGAAAACATCCTGTCCCTTTCATGCAGGCTTAGTGTGTGGAAATGGAGAGCTGAAGAGGTAAACCAACATCCCATGAAACCTCCGTTAATGCAACAGCACACTTTTTTCCTCCAAGTAGCTGGCAATCCTAGATTAGATCAAAATTGCTCAGCTATAGGAAACTATGATCTTGATATCCATGTATACATGTTTTTAATGTATGTATGTTATCAGTAATCAATAAAATTTGCGAAAACAAAATACTCAGCTAAGGAAGGATTATAAATTTATTATAGAGTTTATTATTTTTACCAGGTGATTCAGACTTTGTATTTTGCTTTCTGTGCTTTGTGGGGGTGGGTGGGTAATGAATTGTTCTTGTTCTTCAGTCGCACAGTCGAATCAGACTCTCCGCGACCCCGTGGACCACATCACGCCAGGCCCTCCTGTCTTCTGCTGTCCTCCTTGCTTAACCTCATGTTCGTTGCATCAATAACACTGTCTAACCATCTCATCCTTTGCCGTCCCCTTCTTCTTTGACCTTCAGTCTTTCCCAGCATCAGGGTCTTCTCCAGTGAGTGCTCCCTTCCCATTTGGTGGCCAAACTTTGAGCTTCAGCATCTGGCATTCCAGGGAACAGTCAGGGTTGAGTGATGAGGCCAGATGCCATGATCTTAGTTTTTTTGATGTTGAGTTTCAAGCCCACTTTTGCGCTCTCCTCTTTCACTTTCAGCAAGAGGCTGTTGAGGTCCTCTTCACTTTCTGCCATTAGAGTGGCATCGTCTGCATATCTGAGGTTGTTGATCTTTTCCCCGGCAATCTTAATTCCGTTTTGTGATTCATCCAGGCTGGCATTTTTCATGATGTACTCTGCATATAAATTAAATAAGCAGGATGACAATATACATCCTTGTTGTACTCCTTTTCCTATGCTAAACCAATCAGTTGTTCAATATTCAGTTCTAACTGTCGCTTCTTAATCCTTATACAGGCTTCTCAGGAGACATGTGAAGTGGTCTGGTACTCCCATCTCTTTAAGGACTTGCCACAGTTTGTTGTGATCCACACAAGCAAAGGCTTTAGTCAGTGAAGCAGAAGTAGATGTTTTTCTGGTACTCTCTTGTTTTCTCCATAATCCAGCGAATGTTGGCAATTTGATCTCTAGTTCCTCCAGCTCTTTGAAACCCAGCTTGTACTTCTGGCAGTTCTCTATCCATGTACCGCTGAAGCCTAGCTTGTAGGACCTTGCTAGCGTGTGAAATGAGTGCAATTGTGCGATAGTTTGAACATTCCTTGGCATTGCCCTTCTTTGGGACTGGAATGTAAACTGACCTTTTCCAATCCTGTGGCCACTGTTGAATTTTCCAAATTTGCTGGCATATTGAGTGCAACACTTTAACATCATCATCTTGTAAGACTTTGAATAGCTCAGCTGGGATACCATCACTTCTGTTAGCTTTGTTGTTAGTAATGCTTTCTAAGGCCCATTTGACTTTGCATTCCAGGATGTCTGGCTTGAGGTCAGTGATCACACCGTTGTGGTTGTCAAGGACATTTAGATCCTTCTTATATAGTTCTTCTGTGTATCCCTGCCACCTCTTCCTAATCTCTTCAGCTTCTGTTAGGTCCCTACCGTTTTTGTCCTTTATCACGGCCAGCTTGGCATGAAACATTCCCTTGATTTCTCCAGTTTTCTTGAAGAGATCTCTAGTTCTTCCCATTCTATTGTTTTCCTCTATTACTTTGCATTGTTCATTCAGGAAGGCCTCCTTATCTCTCCTTGCTGTTCTCTGGAAATCTGCATTCAGTTGGGTAAATCTTTCCTTTTCTCCTTTGCCGTTCACTTTCCTTCTTTCCTCTGCTATTTCTAAAGCCTCATCAGACAGCCACTTTGCTTTCTTGCATTTCTTTTTCATCGGGATGGTGCTGATTGCTGCCTCCTATACAGTGTCACAAACCTCTGTACATAGTTCTTCAGGCACTGTATCAAACCTAATTCCTTAAACCTATTCTTCCCCTCCACTGTATATTCATAAGGGATGTGATCTAGGTCAAACCTGAATGGCCTAGTGGTTTTCCCAACCTTCTTCAGTTTAAGCCTGAATTTTGCAATGAGTAGCTCATGATCTGAGCCACAGTCAGCTCCAGGTCTTGTTTTTACTGACTGTATAGAGCTTCTCTATCTTTGACTGCAAATGATATAATCAATCTGATTTCGGTGTTGTCGATCTGGTGATGTCCATGTGTGGAATCACCTCTTAAAGGTAAAGGTTCCCCTTGCTCGAAAGCCAGTTGAATTCGACTCTAGGGTTGTGGTGCTCATCTCCGTTTCAAAGCCGACGAGCCAGTGCTGTCCGAAGACATTTCCGTGGTCATGTGGCCGGCATGACTAAACACCAAGGCGCTCGGAACGCTGTTACCTTCCCACCGAAGTGGTCCCTATTTATCTACTTGCAATTTCTTGCTTTCGAACTGCTAGGTTGGCAGGAGCTGGAACTAGAGACGGGAGCTCACCCCATCTTGCGGCACCCGGGTCTTGAACTCCTGAACTACTGACCTTCCACAGCTTGCAGTTCAGTGTCTTAACCACTTGAGCCACCGCAGCTCCATGAAGTGCTGTGTAGGTAAGTACAAAGTGATGCACATGGGGCAAAAAAATCTCTACTTCTGGTATATGCAAATGGAGTCTAAACTGCTGACTAAGAGGGGAAAAGATCTTGGAGTTGTTGTGCATAGTTCAATGAAAATGCCAACTTGGTGTGCAGCAACTATAAAAAAAGGAAAATGCCACTCGCAGCTTTGTAATGCCCTTATATAGATCTATAGTGTGTTTTCATTTGGAGTACTGTATACAGTTCGAGACACCATGTTTTTTCTTTTAAATGATACAGCCAAGCCAGGAAATATCCAGAAGGCAACCAAGTTGATAAAGGGATTGGAGTACCTTTCTTATGAGTCTGGTGTTTTTCAGTTTAGAAGAAAGATGGCTGCATTGGTATGTGATAGAGGTGTATAGATTTATGGATGGGACAGAGAAAGTGGAGGTAGAGAACTTTTTCTGCCTCTCCCATGGTATTAGAAGTTAGGAGCACCAAGTGAAGTTGATGGACAATAGAATCAGGAGGTACAAAAGGAAGTATTTCAGTGATTCAGCAAATTGTGAAGGTCGCTGGATATAACAATGGCTATTAGTTTGACAACTGTAAAATAGGATTAGATAGATTTTTAGTGGATAATGGCTGCTATCTGTAATTACTATGCTGGAGATTACTAGGAAAGGTATTGAAAATGAAATAGCCAATATTGTAATGGCCGTCTGAGTTCTCTGCTGTGGCCTGTCCATCCTGGGTGGCCCTCCACAACATAGCCCACAGCCTCATTGAACCACGCAAGCCTGCTCGCCAAGTCCAGGCAGCAATCCAAGAGAGAGTTTTAATGAGTTGGGCTTAATTAAATGTTTCAAAGGTTAGTGTGGCTTGTCTTTTTAAATTATGTATAAAGTTGTAAGAAATAAATCCTCTTGCAGACGTTTGAGATGGGCACGTTGTGCCATGACTGATCCCCATGACCAGGGGTAATTTCCTGCCGGAGTGTACCGAAACGGTGCTCTGGCAGTAAGGAGCCCAGGGGCGGGCACATGCAGCAAGCCCCGCCCCCAGCTACCAGCAGCCCTCAGTTGGGCCACAAGGAGCAAGAAGCAGCAAGGTAAGTTGGAAGGGCCAGGGAAGGCCTGCAGAGCCCCCCCCCCAACCGCCTGGGGGGATTTAAATGCCTTTCTTTCCCTTCTCCAGTTGGGGAAGGGGCTGCCCGCTGAAGCGGGTG